GCGTAATTTATGACCACGAAAATGGCTTCCTCTGCAGGAATCCAGACTCGCCGAGCTCGAAACTCCAGGGCAGACGAATTACACCTTAGGGCGGGCAGGTCACGTGAATGACTTTCGAGGTCAGTACTCCCCGAAACTTTTCCGTGCATGAGCCCCACGTATGCTGCCGTGCGATCCTTGGTCGTGTCGAAAACTCCAACGCCGCGTTTGCGTGTCCGAAGTCCCGTCTTCACCTGCCGGAAACGCCGAGCCTCGTAACGTCAGCTACACTTCACCATGCAGCCACGTCTGCTACGAGCGCTTCTGACGAAATCCATTCCGCCTGGGGATATCCGCGAGCTTGTCGTCTCGTGACGAGCTCCTCGCTACATTCGGACACCAATCCGAATCGTCGTTGCTGCTTGCCGAAATTGCCGAAAATGCAACCTAGGCCTCTTTAACGATATGCGAAATAAACAACATACCGAAAACACTCTTCAAAATCTTCGCCATGTCAGGACGGACACAACCGCCCTCGAGGGGATGGCTGAGCGAATCCTGCTCGTCCCTTGGGGTCGGATCGACAGTCGTTAGAAGCCCACACAGACTCAGTTGTTGAAGCATATCATATCATGCTTCAGGACAACCGCTGTGCCTTCTGTAGTGCCATCCGCCTTCTCCCCCTCCAAAAAAAAAAAACAAGAGGCGACACGATCGTCTTAGGGTTGCGGAGCATTCGACGAGGAGACTTTATTATACATAAATGTTTGATTTTCATACCAAATAATCACTCCGTTTGTTGGATAGAAGCCGGCATTTTCCATATCACAAACAAACAGTTGATTATTATTTCCATATCACAAGAACAAATGATCGTGCTTCACATATTTATTTGAAAATTGAGGCAACGTGTAAGAATTGAGTTTGGATGAGGCTCAAGTTCAAGTCGAAAGAATTATTCACTTGCGAAAATTCGACCCCGAGAGCTTTCCGGATCAAAGTTGGCTTTTTATCAACTGAGATAATTCACACGTCAATCAAGGAATTGTATATATATCACATCTTGAATTTGCGACGAAGGTCCAACAACTTCAGCGATCTCTTCTGCTTTTCCTCTCGCCTAAAAATCTCCTCAGCAGACCTAATTCTCATAGCACATGTATGTCGTTCAGCAGAGCTACCTCTCATAGTTGCCTCTAATTTCCTCACATTTCCTATCTTCTTTCCGCGAACTCGATGGTTCTAGGTCGGGATTTTGGGCTGCAACCCATTTCGACCTTGTTCTAGGTCGTATTAGTGGGCTGCAGCCCATTTCAGCCTAGTTCTAGGTCGATCTACAGGGCTGCAACCCATATCGACTTCGTTCTAGGTCGATTTTAGGGATTGCGACCTTTTTCGACCTAGATCTAGGTCAATTTATGGGGCTGCAGCCCACTTCGACCTAGATCTATGTCGTTTTATTGAGCTGCAACCCATTTTGACTTCCGTTTTGCCGTTTTTCTGCAACCCTTTCTTCTTACTTTCTTGTATCATTATCTAATTTGTGTTCACAGTCTGTTTCTTGCTCTACTTCTTGCCTTGTTTCCTGATCCCCTCTAATTCCCTTGGTATTCTTGTATACTTGACACAGGATTCGAAGCACTCGTGAAAGCTGAAAAGTGGCTTCGTTATAGGCGTCAGCTAAACACCGTTTCTATTCCAAGCTGTCTAAATTGCATTGTTGCTTGTCAAAAAAAAATAAACAAAATTGCTTGCTGATGATTTTATTGCTATCATAAAATGTATAATCGCACGGTCGACATAATAGGCTTTCGACTTCCCCCACTTAGCTGGGGAAGCGATAGCCTATTTTTGTCAATGACAAAAATACGCCATTGGAAATAATGGGAAACAACGACAAACATTTTAGATTCAAATCAATTAGGGAAACTAAAAGTTATTGGGAATTTTATTTTATTTTAAGATTTGGCAGTTTTTTTCCAAATCACAAACTTGAAAAAAAAACCTTACGATCGATCGCAATAGGTTGCTCCGCAACCCAAAAAAAAATTGCCCTCAGAAAGCCCACCGGGTGAGGAAAGTGGCTATGAATACCAAGCGTTATGAATGGGACTGCTGGGTAGCGTGGAGGGCAATGGCGAAACTGTGAACGAGTGAATGACAATAAAATGAAAGACAATACAATATATAGAAAGCCTAGGGTGATACCGGACGTAGGATCGGAAGGTTCGGGAAAAGTATCGAAGGGCCTCGATGTGTCGTAGCGAGGTCCGGAAAGGCCCAGGAGGCTAGAAATGATAGGTCTGGAACCCCGGCGATGGTTCGGGACTGTTCGAGTCGTACGCTCTGTAGCAAGCCTCAGTAAGGAATTACTAATTCCTTACAGCTTGTTCATTCATAACACATAACAGCGCATGACATATGTTACACCGACATCTGGTAACTACAGTATCCATCCTGATATTTGTCAGGAGGGGGTCCGGACCGCACGGGTGACACGACATCGCATGTTGTGGTTGAGCTGGTTCTTCCGTCTTGCCGATCTGAGTCAGCCTTTTCACACCCAAGTCAGCAATGGCGAACCGCGTATACAACGAGAGGAGACAATTCCGTTCCCGAGTTCGAGCTTCAAACCAATTTGTGATATGGAGGAAGTCCACATGGCACGGAGTGATTGTTGGAAGCACCAAGCATGCCCAATTCATGCCTTCGTGTCCTGCGAATTCTGCCTAGCTGAGTGGTGTGGCAGGGTGGGGGATGTGTGCTGTAGTGTGGGACTCGAACCTGATGCTTGATGGCCATTCGTCGTGGGATTTGCTTGCCCTCCGTGTTCATCCTATCACAGGCGCCCAAAATCTGTGGTGGGCTCATCTGGGCGATGACGAGCAGGTTGGCTGGCAGCTGTGTGTTCACCTCACCAGCCCGTTCAAATGGCGCTCCACGTTGCTGGAGGTAGTGTTCTGAAAATTGACCTTGTTATGGGTTAGTGCGTCGGATGGTTCCAAAACACATGGAATCAACAGGAATGGAACATGTAAACAGTTGCGTATGTGGAATTTCTGGGTTAGACCCTTTGCCGGACAAAGCAATGTTGAAAGACAATATGATTCCACAGGAAGGTTATGTGTGTCTTGTCACAGAAAGTGTGCCGAACGGAAGATTTTGGCCAAACAATTGCTCTGCAGTTTATCTGGAGACCTCAACCCATACCCCATTTGTTTGCAGCAATACCACATCAGCACATGTGAATCTGGTTTGGTGTTCCGTCAAAGTGGGGGTACAGTTCCACCATCGTGTGTTCCTGGTAGTTCGTCCGTCGTTTTGTGCGAAAGCACGGGCTGTCTGAGTCAGACGAGATATCATCCACAGAGGATAGGGTGTTCACCAACACACCTGTCTACGATTATTCGGCGTTGCCGTGTGGATTGGGTCCTGAATTACATCAGCAATGCGTGGATGCCTACACCTATGAGTCAATGACAGCTTCGTCCGGCCAATTAGAGTCCCTCAAGGAGCTGTTGACGGCCCATGCTGGCGTGTAGAAACGTGTATAGCACCAGTTTGTGATTTTACGCGCTTCGCACTAGGTCCATCAAGTCGCTTTGATTGGACGAGATTTCTCGGCTCATGTCGTTTGTCTGCTGCGCGCGTTTCCGCCGAACAAATTCCGCAGAAACACATCGATTATGGGGAGGTGGGTGTAAGGGTGTGTCAGAAGTACTGTCCTGTTCAACACCGAGTTCAGTTACCACATATAGGCATGTAACCATAAAACGCGCCCAAATTGGACACGCTCAACTCACACCCAAAATTGGAGGACACAAGCGCACGTTTCCAGGTGCCTCCGCACGACAAAAAAAGACCGCGCAAAAATCCAATTCGCCATCCAATACCAACACCACTTCTAGCGAAATTTCCACGCGAAACTTTGCAGCCTCGCTCGTCGCTAGCGAACAAACTTTCCATGCCAAATCCAACACACCCACATAGTGCAAGACATACCAGACCAAATTTGCTACCGCGACATGCCGCGGCGGCGAAAGCTGGTACTAGTATCACGACATTGGATTGGCCATCCTTTTGTTACACGCGCCTGTTGCGCTGGTTTCGCATGGCAGGACCCCGTTACCCGCCACCATGTCTGTGTTGGTCTCGGTGCTGTCCTTCCGAGCATTAATCATGAATTGTTGCAACATGGCCATTTGGGTGGTGTCCTTCCGCCACCTCAATCATGAATTCTGGGTCTCTAATTTATTCGAATGCGCCCTAGGTCCCGCCTCCGTCCTCTTAGACCAGCTGCATTATCACCTAGTCAGAGGCCACTCCAGCACAGCGGAACAACGGCTGAACACGGGGGCTTGTTCTGGTGTGGCGCACGAAGAGAGTGCCCCTTGGTTGAACCCCTTTTTTCCAGAACTGACACTCGCTCGACTCGTCTTCCCCACGCTCGCGCGCATGCGGCTCATCCAGTTTCTGCTGGGCCCCGCTCACCGCACCCTTCTGCGCACCGCAGTCAACAGTGTTCACCAAGCTTCCCCCATTCCCTCTTCCTTCCAGCCACACATGCGGACCAGCTCTCCGCAACCCGTCCAGCACACCCAAGTTCTGCGGTTCCCCGCACCTCAAAATCCTTCCGCCCTGCGCTTTCCGCCGGGTCCGCAACCCACTGTGCGCTTCTCGGAAGGGACGTGACGGGGTCACGGGGAAAGCCTTGCCAAATTCCTGACTTTCCTTCGCGCCTCTGCCCCTCCATGTCAACGCTCCCATTCAACTCTTCCCCGGCCCACCGTTTCTCCTCTCTCCCTCCCCCCCCCGCCTTCCCTCCGCCCATCCCTGCACCGAAACCAACCAGCCAGCCTCGTTGCACCAGACAACTGGACCAGCCTTCCCCCCCGCCTCCCCCCCACGCGCGCCCCAAACCAACCACCCGCTATCCGCCCCTGGCCCCTCTCCTGCTCGCTCTTCCTGCGAGCCAGCCATAAGTACCGATGCACTGACTAGTCATCTTCAGTGTGAGTTTTTTCTTCACAGCTTCAGCAGCCGCTCCTCAGCTTCTTCCCGACCTTTCCCCGGTCTCAACAAACGAGCCTCCTCGTTTGCTCGCTTTGCGTCGGGAGGGTAAGAAGGCTAACGAGGTCCGGACGGCTGTCGCCCTGCTGTTTCGGAAACTATTTCCGATTCTTATTATACTTCGAGGTCGCTTCTCTCGAAGGGACTCTCCAATTTTCTAGCGGTGCTTTTCTCCTGAAGATTCAGCACACGCCTCACACGGTCCTACACGCGTTGTAGCAGGAATCACGCCCGTGTCTTCCTGCACATACGTCTTCGTCTGAATTGGCATTTCTCGACCTTCTCTACATCTCCCCCAACTTTTTGGCGACAAACATGGCGGCTTCGATCGTTGTCGCAGCAGGCCAGGCTGTCGCGAGCCGCGCGCCGCCTGCTGTTGTTAGCGCGTCGGGGATGCATTCCGGAGCGTCCGCATCCTCAGAGCGCCCGTCCACCTTCGACGCCCCGCAGCTCCTCGGCAAATCTCTCCCCAGCAGTGGCAAGCCTTCCGCCAACGGCGGAATGTCCGCCAGCCGCGCGCGGAAGCTGTTCTTCCTCCGCGCCGCGCGCCCTCTCCTCCAGACAACAGCGCCGCTGAGGCGGTGGCAGCGCAACCGCGCCGTGTCGCAGAAGGAATCGGACGAGAAGAATAAAGACGCTGTGACTCTGACCGAGATCATCGACTCTATGACTGCGAGACAATCCCTTTCCCCTGGCATGGACCCTCTTCCGCTCCACGCGCAAGACAACTCCTTCGTCGACGTAACCAGCGACGCAACCGACGCCGCCAAGTCCGCCCCGACATTTCCCCAATCACAGCAGCAGCAGCCGCTCTCCCCCGCGCTGAATCCGGTCGACTGGGTGCTTCTTAAAGCGCAGGGGGTGCCCGTGCCGTCTTTCGATTTCGATATCAAGTGGTCGTTCCCGTGGCCGCGCGACGGCGACAGCAGCAGCAGCAGCGGCACGCTCCCTCCCCCGGCGTCGCTCGCGTCGCTCGCGGAGCGCCGCGACGCGCTGAAGCAGGAGCTCGAGGTCCTGGAGCTGATGCTGCGGCCGCAATGCCCGTGGCCGCGCGACCCGCATGCTTATATCGAGGAGGAGTGGGTCTTTTCCGAGGACGAGCTCGAGGTGGCGGACGAGGAGGAGGACGACGATGTCGCGACGGCGTTTCTCGTGGAGGAGAGCGACGCGGAGAGCGACGAGGAGATTAAAGTCGTCGAGGTGCTTCCCGCCGGCCCGCATTGCGCGTGGCCGCGACCCACGGGTCGTGTCTCGTCACCCGCCATGGACTCCGCCGCGTCCGCCGTGACTTCCGCCGCTATCAGCGCCGATGCATTCGCCCGCTGCGCGTGGCCCCGCACCAACAACCAGTCAACTCTGGCCTCCGCGCTATCTGCCGTTTCTGCCGCCTCCGCCATTTCCGCCGTGTCTGCCGCTCCCGCTCCCGCCCCTGGCCCGCGCTGCGAGTGGCCCAGGAAGTCATCTAATCCGCTCGTCCCTGTCGCTGCGCCATCGACTCCCGCCGCCCTCGGCGCAAGGTGCGCGTGGCCCCGCCCGGCGGCATCTTCCTCCGCTGTTGCCGCCGTGAAGACCGCCCCTGCTCTTCACCTCCTCTCCACCGAACTTCCCGTGACTCCTGCTTTCAGCCAAGAGGCTTCCGCGCTCCCTCCTTCAGCGCGTTGCGCCTGGCCGCGGGGGGGCGCGCAAGCCCAGCAGCAGCGCGTCCTGGTTTCCCTCGGGCCGCACTGCGCTTGGCCGCGCAAGAGCGCGCTGGCCGCCGTGGCTGCCCCCGCTGTAGCAGCGCCCGCAGCCCTCGCTCCTGCTCCTGCCGAGGCTCCCGCAGTGTTGGGCCCGCGGTGCTCGTGGCCGCGCGCCACGTCCGCCGCTTCCGCCGTCACTGCTCCTTCCGCCACTTCCGCAGCCGTCTCCGCCGCTCTCCCGCACCTCGACCTCGCTGTGGGTCCTCGGTGCAGCTGGCCGCGCAAGGGCTCCGCCTCCGCCGTTTCCGCCGTGCCCTCGGCGCCCGCGGCTGCCGTTGCGGAACCCGCCGCACCCGCGGGTCCACGGTGCGCGTGGCCGCGCGCTGTCCCCACCGTGACCCCCGTGGTTATCGCTCCTGAGGTGGTGCAAGAATCGGATGAGCTGGCGCGGCAAATGCAGTCGGCTGTGCGCACGGCAGCAGCAGTAGCAGCAGTGGAGGCGTCTGATGGCCCCAGGTGCATGTGGCCCCGGGGATCGCTGCTGTCAAATGCGCTGCTGGGAGGCCCGGCAGGAACTGGCAAGGGCATGATGAGCGTCGGGGTGGAGCTGCCTGCTGCCGCTCCTGCTCCTGCTGCTGCTCCTGCTCCTGCTCCTGCTGTTCTTCCCGCGGGGCCGAGATGCGAGTGGCCAAGGAAAGGAGCTGTTGCTGCTGCAGCAGCAGCTTTTGATGTTGCACCCGCTGCTGTTGTGGAAGTGGAGGTGGTTGAAACCCCCATGGGCCCTCGCTGCCCCTGGCCGAGAAATGCTGCCCCTGCGCTCACTCCTGCTCCTGAAGCACCTGTGACACGGCGACCGCTCAGTACCGTCAGCTCAAGCGTCAGCAGCGCCAGCAGCGGCAAGGCAAGCAGCCTTGATCAGTACATGAGGCAGAGGAAGCGCGAGCCAGTGGCTGCTGCTATGAGTGCAGATGGTGGTGATGTGAACAGCCTGGCCATGCCCCTGCAGTTCTTCATGGACTCGCACCAGGCCCACCACCAGTCTTCGGCCGGCAGGAGCAGTGTGGAGATGTGAAGAAGCCCATAACGAGTCACCATCCACATAACCATGGTTTTTTCTTTAACATTGGGACCCATGAGGATGCTTTCGTCGAAGGCGCTAGCAGTTCCTCCCTGGTTCCGTTATTCTTGCACAAAAGGTGCTTGAGTGCTAGTGTCCATCTGGCCGTGTGCCTGGCAGCGGAATGGGGGCCTTATGCCTTCATTCAGATTTGCCAGGCTACACAACGGCCACCACGTACATAATTCAGATTTGCCTCGGCATCCTCTGTATTGTTCTGGCAGGGCCCTGCTGGTCAGGGGCTTGTCATTCTGTATACCCCCCTTGTTTGAAGGGTGGGATTTTATCTGGTGTGCGTGGGCTTTGCATGTGCAGTTGTGCTTTTCACATGAATGTTACTAGTTTCTGTAAAAGGTTTGGCAAAACTTTCCATATTACCGGTACTTTTCAAAACTTGACCATTTGTTGTGTGCAATATTATTGTGTGCATGGCAGTGAGATAGTGATTGGTATTGTGCTACTCCGGCGAATGAACAGGATCGAACTCCTTACGAACCCAGGGTGCCCCCCCCACCCCCACTCCTGTTACAGTACTGAATCTTCGTGAGAAAATCGGCAGCCATTTCGTTGGTCGAACAGTAGACCAATCGCATTCTGTTCAAATTATATAAGTTATAATTTAATATAGGCTTGGCAGGATGTTACTGAACCTTTCTGTAGGGGGTACAAACCCCTCCTTGTACTCCCCTCTCTTCCTAATCCATCCCCTCTTCTCTCTCGACACTCTCCTCCAGCTCCTAGCTAAACCCCGCCGCCACATTCATGGCGGCCTTGTTCCTGCCTAGTATCCTAGCCTAGAGCTACTTTAACATGGTAACAGAGCAGGCCGTTTCCGGTCCTGCCTTCCAAGCTTCCGCCTCGTCCTTGTCTTACGTTTCACTTCGTACCGTGCCGCTGATGGCGGCCTTTCGTTTTCCTGCCGCCGTGGCGGCCTTGCCTTTCCGTGCCGCCGTGGCGACTTCTCTGAGATGCCGCGACGGCTTAGTCGAGCTACAGTCGCACCTCCGCCTCGCCGCCGCGGCATCGACGTCGCGCTGTGGCGGCGTATTTTGGCTGCCATGGCGGCGTCATCGCACGACAGCCGGCCGCGCATCCGTCGTTTGGCTGCCGTGGCGGCGTCATCGGGCGACAGCCGGCCGCGCATCGTCAATGGTGCCGCCGGACCTGCCGCCCGCTCTGCAGCCGCCTGCGTGATTCTGGACTACGCCCCGCGCCCCTCTCCCCCCCCCCCCCCCCTCCCCCCTCCCCCTGCTTCCCCCCCCTTCCTTGCTGCAGCCAACGACTGCCTCATGCGGGCCCTCCCCACTGCCGAGGTGACTGGACATGCCGCCAAGAGGGCGGGGGCCGCTGCACCAGCCGCTGACGTTCAAGCCGCCGCTGCCGTTGCTGTTGCCGCGGGCCGGGCGCCGCCGCACGCCGCCACCGGCGCCGCTGTCGTCAATGTCGCTGCTGCCGCCATAGCCATCCCACGGGCCGTGGGAGCTGCCCGCTTCTGGAGTCGTTGTGTCTCCTGCTGGGAATGGGGGTGCTGGGCTAGGGGGTGTGGGTGTGGGTGTGGGTGTGGGGGTGTGAGTGGGCTTGACACTACCAAGCCTAGGGGGTGTGTTCAAAATATATAAGTTATAATTTAATATAGGCTTGGTAGGTTGTTACTAAACCTTTCTGTAGGGGGTACAAACCCCTCCTTGTACTCCCCTCTCTTCCTAATCCATCCCCTCTTCTCTCTCGACACTCTCCTCCAGCTCCTAGCTAAACCCCGCCGCCACATTCATGGCGGCCTTGTTCCTGCCTAGTCTCCTAGCCTAGAGCTACTTTAACACATTCTCCCCTTCTCGACTTCATCTTTGACGAAAAAATATCGAAGCGAAATGTGCTTCGTCCTGTTGACGAAACCAGGTTGATGTGCGATGCGAATTGCACCTTGATTGTCGCACTGTAGGGTAAATTGGGTAGTTGTCGTCAACTTTGCTTCTTCCAATAGTTCCTGTAAGTAAAGTCCTTCGCGTGTTGCTGTGCAGACAGCAATAAACTCAGCTTCAGCAGAGGAGAGAGCAATCAGCTCCTACTTCGTCGAATTCCAAGAAATAGGTCCGATAGGTTCAAGACGGTAGATGAATCCAGTGCGCGATCGTCGATTAGTAGAATCAGCAGCGTGATCGGCGTCGACAAAACCGTGTAGATAAAGTGTTTTACAACCGATGACGTTGTAGACTAATCCGACGTCAGGTGTCGAGATAAAATACTGAAGCGCACGGGGAAGATCAAGATGATGCTCTTCCTCAGGACAGCGTAGGAACTGAGCGAGCTGACTGGCCGCGTAGGCTAGATCAGGACGACAAGTGACAGCAGCGAAGAGTAGACAGCCTAACTGCTGCTGATAGATCTGTAAACCAGTTGAACTTAACAGTGCAGTGTTCGTTTTGTAGTCAGTCGGTAGTGAGCGGTACGGTGTAGAGACAGTAGTAGGCGTGAGGTTGAAGCGGGCAGCGAGAGTTGCTGCGTATTTTGAAGCGGTGAGATGAATAGTCGTTGGTGAACAGGTAATGTTCAGACCAAGAAACTGTGAGACTGTTGCGGATACGGTAATCTGTAGATTTTTCTGTAGTTTCAGTATGAAGATAACAGCGAGGGAATCGGTAGTACTGACAAATAGGATGTCGTCGACGTAGGCAACGAGTAAAATGTAGTTGCTGCCGTCGGTCAGTAGATACATTCCCTGATCATACGGTAACTGTCAAAATCCAGCAATGATCAGCTGCGAGTGAAGATACTGCTGCCAGAGCCGTGGTGCCTGTTTAATGCCGTACAGGGATTTTCGTAGACGGCAAACGCTCGGTGGGTTAGTAGTATAAGAATGCGGGTACTCTACCAGGATGAGTGCGTCGACGGGTGCATAGAGAAATGCATTCGACACGTCGATTTGGCGAAGACGTAGATTACGGCAGGCGGCGACACAAAGAAGAATCCGAACACTTGTATGTCGGCCGACAGGAGCAAAGGTTAGTTCATAGTCGATGCCGTAAGTCTGCTCAAATCCGCGGACGACCCATCTAGCTTTGAACTTTTCAATCGACCCATCTGCATTAGTCTTGACGCGGAAGACCCATTTTCCGGTAAGTACCTTCTTCCCTTTGACCTCTGAAGTCGGTACTAAATCCCATGTGCCACGATTCTTGAGTGCTGCTAGCTCCTTGTCCATGGCTTTGCGCCATTTTTCTCGGTGAGGACTCGTAAGAGCTTGTCGGATGGTTTTCGGTTCAGGTATCTTACTGTCGTTGTACTGTACTGCGACTGCGAACCCCAGTATCTGTAATCCTGTTTCTGTAAAGCGCGGACGTTCTTCGTTTGCAACTGCGAAATTTTCTTCTGGTCCTTCTTCCCCCCCAATTTCGTCAGGTGTAACACGGACTGCTTCGTCGGAGACAACGGGCATAGGCTGCTGTTGGCGATCGCGTTCGTAACTGAGATGAACTTCGCGAACATCATCCTGGTTAGCATCTGCACGAGGAATGAATTCAGGTATGCCGGTCGATGTGACAGGTTCGGGAATGTCAGTTGCGGCAGCTTCGGATGCTTCAGAAACATCCTCGTCCTGTACATCAGCTTCGGCCTCGTCAGTGGCAAACGCACGCGAGCCTTCGAACAGCCTGGCGGGGTTGGCAGCTGCTGCCTGGTGCGCACGAAAAACGGGCAAGATGAGTCTTTTATAGAAAAGACAATCACGTGATGGAACGATTTGATGGGAGCGAAGATCCAAAATCTTCCACGCGTGATACTATTTTTCGATGCCGAGATGTACCCCCCATTTTGCCCGTTCGGAAAATTTTCCGAGTGCTGCGGTTGGAGGACGAAACTGTACAACACACCCGAAAACTCGTAAAAGTTTTGTGCTTCCCACTGTACGTGTCCACTGCAGGGACGTTGAAGAAAGAAGATTGTGTAACAGCACGGCGTGGTCCATCGCATACGGCCAAAAATGCGGTGGAAGTGCTGCATGCGTCAGCAGAGCACGCTCCTTCTCCTGCAGAGTTCTGTTCACCATTTGTGCTACCCCCATCGGTTGGTGTGCATGCGGCAGAGACTGCTTCTGTTTGATGCCGAGTGTTTGAAGGTAGTCTGTGAAAGTGTTGCTGGTGTACTCCCCTGCACCATCGCTCTGAAATTGTTGCAGTTTCACTCCTGACTCTCGTTCAGCGACAGCGAGCCATGCGACGAAGACAGAGTGAGCAAGATGGCACGCAGGTAAGTTAGCTGTCCAGACATATCGTGTAGACGCTTCAATGAAGGTTATCACATACTTCTCGTCTTTAGGTCATGCTTCAGACAAGTTGAGTATGTCGCTGTAGACTTTCTGCATCAGTTGATAACGGGTTGAGCCGGGAAAATGACTTGGAAACGGATCGTGCGTAAGGTTGGCAGCTGGACAAGTGGTGCAAACCGTCGGACGAGACTGTGGCTTCATCTCCGTGCCGTCAGGTAAAAGTAGACTATTCTTATCAAGAACTGCTGCTCGGATTGAATGATTAAGTATTCCCTGTGATGGATGTCCTAACCGCTGATGCCATATGTCTGCTGATGCTTTGTGTCCTGATGATCGCATGTAGAAGTCGGAGTTAGTATAAAAAGAAGAAATAAGAAAAGGAGATAGCGCTGGTGAGCGGTCAACATCTCCCTCAACGAAACGTGTAAGTGGTAATGGAACAGTCGTGGGTGCGGCTACAGTTGTGATTGCAACTTTTGATACTGCTTCTGTTGATATCGTGGCAGGTGTTTCGGCGACAGCTACTGTTGGACTCGGCTACTCAGCTACTGCTTTCTGTTCTGCTTCCTCAATGACGTCTGGTTCATCGGTTGCAAGACCACTTATTTCTCCCCAAAGTGGTGCTGGAGTTCCTTGGAAGGCTGCACGGGTATTATAAAACGTTCCCCACGCGGTGGCTCTTTCATCGGCGGTGTTGAATTCCCAGGTATCCAACGCGGTAAGTACGGCGGCTGCTGTTCGAGAAGATGTTGGTACTGAAGTTGCTCGAAAGTCAATATCCACGTTTTGATAATCTGTTTCTTCGGGATGATCCCAGGGACCAAGTGCAAGGAAGCGTTCAGAATCACCAGAAGTTCCCTGTGCTGCGAACTGAAGTACCGATACGCCATGTTGAGTGGCAGCACGACCAAGGTAGGTATTAGTTGTACTGTGCCAGAGCTCTTGATCCATCGTCTCACAATTTCCTTGTGTGCGGATTTTGTGTGCTAGGAGTTGAGCCGTGGAAAGAAGGTTGAAGCCAAGACCAGTGACGATAAGAACATTCGTAACATGAAGTGAGTATCCCGTGTCGATAGATTCGAGCATGACACTGCCAACTGATCGTGCCATTATCGTTGT